GATGCATTCTGTCGCTGTTGATTTAACATCTGCTGATAGTTAAGCATTTGGTTTTGACTAATTGGCTGCCGACTACCATATGCCGCGTTAGGAGGGTTAGGATCACCCGGAGGAAGCCAGACAGTAGGCAAATCTCGTTCCATCGTACCACCTCGCGGGCTCTCCGATGACTCAATGCGATGAGGCGCGTATCCAGGTAGGTGAGATCCGGGAGCGACATGAGGTACTCGAGTGACGCTTACAAACCTTCTTTCTAGAGCTGGAGCTGTAGCGTTGGCAGCCTGCTGCTCTTGCTGGTCATGCGCCCTCACACGTTCTTCGAAAGCAGCCATGGACTGCGCGAGACGGGACTCACGATCGGTCAACTGTTGAGGCGTCCGCTCTACAGCAATAGGTTGCCGCGCACGTCCAAATCGCGGATCTGGCTCGTACAGCTCATGTCGACAGTTTGGGCAAGTACCTCGCTTCACACCCGTACGCGGAGCGCTCTGATCGAACCAGCTCTGTACACAGACGGTATGAAACATGTGGCCGCAAGCGTGGAACTTGACCACGTCGTCTGATAGAGGTTCAAGGCAAATCGTACATTCCGCGTTCTCGGGAAGAGGCTCTGCGGTAGTGTCGACGGCTATGACTCCGGTCATGTAGAACTCTGGTTGAGACCGCAGAGTGGGCATATGGCTTTTAGGCCGGGGAGTCTCAGCTGGCTCAGGGTTCAATATGTTCTGAATCCGACTGACTGACGCTAGACGCGACTCCAAGGTTGGGTCTGACCATCTAGTTCGCTCTGTGGCAGGTCGATTCTGAGGAACGTGTAGCTCATTGACGTTCTCGGTTGGACCTATCCGCCTGTACCGTGGCGCAGGTAGAGGTGAATCTGGGCGCGGTGTAGTGGCGGCTCCTTGACCCTCTGCTTCGGTGACGGTCGGACTCCTGGGAGCGACGCGCGCAGTCTGACTACCGAGAGCGCGTCGAGCCTCGAAAGCGTCCCTAGCACGAATCAGGCGCGAGCTATTCCGAAGCCTGGTATCTTGTTGTGAACGTTGCTGTATCTCGCCGGCATCTGCTTCCGAAACCGACAATTCCCCACGACGGTCAAGACCAGCCATAGCAGGCTGCAGAGGTAGGGGTACGAAGTCAGTATATGTCTCACATGCACTTCGTATAGCCAAAACTTACCATTCTAGCCCGAAGGTCCTCCCTTATCCGATCATTTCGCTCCTCCTCGGTTTCATCTCGCGAATCACCTTGATCTTGCGGTGGAGTTGGCGACGCCATAGTCGCGATGTAGTCAAGTCGAGTTAAACTGCGGTAAAGATAGTTTTTGGTGCGTTCGTTCGCTCGTCAGTATTTAGTGATAGAACTCTCTGCCAAAGAGGGTAGAGAATAGATAGCGATGTGGTCGTTTGTAAGTATTTTGTGGGGAGGTAAACAATCAAAGACCGACGAAGGTGGTGCAAGAGCAAGTGAGATACAGCCTAGCGCCTTGTAGCACAAACCGCCAAGCAACGAATGAAAGAGGGAGAAGGTGGGAGAGAGGTCGGCTGGAGCGTTTGTCGAAGTGCGCGCTACTTCCTGAACTGGCGATACTTCTCTTTTAATGGAGCTGATCGCTGCTTCCAGGGTTCTATGCAGAAGTGTCAGCCACGCAAGGGGGGGCGGATTGTAAGGCACGAAAAGCAACACGTACCATAGCGCAATCGCGCAGTCCCGCAATCTCAAGATACAATATTCGCCACGAGCCATTCTGCCAATACAGATACTCCACGGTATGTAGCACTTATAAATTCGTAGAAAGGAGGTTACTTTACTCACAAAATTCCCAAGATGAAACCCATTCCCCATAACCTGAACGCCATTGGATGCATCCTGCCCTCTATCAACCCCCCAAACCATCATCTAATCCCAGCTCTTCTTCTCCACAGACGGTGTCCCCAACACACCCACACCATCACCCCTCCTCCGTCTCTTCCCCATAACCTCACTTGCCCAATCAAACATCTGCCACGCCCAACTCCCCGCAACCATAACACCACTGACAACATTCACCAACCTAACAATCAGCCTCCAGAAGCCACCCCACTCCTCCACCACCGCCAGCAGAATAGGCTCGATATCGAACTTGACGAAGATACCCGGCACGTAGGTTTCAGCGACCTTGTGGGACTGCGATGTAACGGCGTACTGGTTGGTCTTGATGGCGTGGGTGGTGTGGAACATGTTTGAGAAGGGCGTGTCTTCTTCGGATGTGCTGGATGTGAGGTAGGGGATCATGGATGCGTCGTCGGTGTAGATGGTGGGGACGATGGAGACGTAGTATTGGAATTTGTAGAATTTGTCTTGGGGTGTTGGTGTTACGGCGATGGTGTTGTCGAGGGGGTTGACGAGGGATGGGTAGTAGGGACCGAAGGACATTTCGCGGATGATGTGCGAGAAGTTGAAAGCTTGAGGATGTCAGTTACTGCTGTCTTCGTGGTTCTTGATTCTTTGGACTCACTGGAATGGTCCAGATGCTCTCCAAACTCCATGTAACCGTGGCCCCTAGCCGTGATGTGGAAGTCGCCCTGCACCTTGTTTCCAATGATACTGCCGTAGATGCGGCAGCTGTCAGTCTGTCCGCGCACGCGCGGTGTCTTGCTGAACTTGCTCTTCCGCGCCTTCCCCAGCTGCTCATGCACGTCCTCGATATCGTCCCATCCGGCCTTTTTATCTTTGCCTAGTTCGTGTGTCCCACTCTCGGCGTTCTTGCCGGTCCATTGCGCCCATGATGTTGGGTCTTTGCGCAGGAGTTCGCCAGCTAGGGTGCGGTCACCGGCAGCATCTTGCATGTTGACGTGAAGGTCGGCGCAGCGCATAGCTACTATCAAGTCGAGGTTTATCCGCATGCCGTGGGCCACGCCCTTCTCGACGGCGAATGATTGTGTGGTTGTGCCGGCGAACCAGCGCGCGATCTCGGACCAGGCGAGGTAGATGCATGTTATGATGAGCGTCACTGTCCACGCGGAGGAGTTGCGGCCTTGTACGAGATACGTCTTCTTAGTTTTAGCTGTAGACATTCGTTAGCCTTGGGTTCATCTTGGATCGATCGCGGTGTCGCATGTGGCTGGGAAGTCGCATCACGACATGTATTGATCATTCGAGACCTCCAAACTGCCTGCGACTCCTCCCTCCATCTCGACAACCATACAAAGACTACACTTACGAAAAGCATCGAAACTGGAGACAATGCCGCCCTTGGCTGGACCAAATGGATCCTCGTCGTGCCCGTTATCCCCGTAGCCGTTCATGGTGGGCAGTCAAACGAACAATCGGGGTGCTGCAGACCCAATTTCGATTCGGTGAACGGTTAGGTAAAAGAAAGAAGCGTGGGTGGGATAATGAACGACATTGACAGTTGAGGTTCATGCCGCGTCGCGAAAGGCCACCTTGAACTGCTGCAACGGCCCGCGTCCGTGCCCGCGGAAGAGGCCCGATTCAGAGGGCCCCGCCACGTGCTGCTTTCACCCCTCGAGTTCGTCGCTTTCATCACCATAACATCGATGACAGCTTGCACGTCATTATTTTTTTCATTCATTAGGCTCGTTACTCTATGGTGTGCGTATATCGCCATGCATCATCGAAACTCTAAGCGTTGGTGTCACCCAAGTTGCTGAACTTGGAGTCGCCGCCTTGAGCCAGGTCTCTGTTCTCAACCGCAGCACTCGCCGCAGCCGCCTTCGCCAACTTAAGCTCCGCTTGCCTAGAAGGGTCATCCTTTGTACCGATCTCGCCAAACTTGGTGTTGCCGCTCATGTTGGGGTCTTCTGTCAAGTTGGCACCCTTGGGCTGAAGGACACTGGGGTCAATGTTCTTTCCAGCAGCAACACCGGTAGGTGCTGTGCCAGCGCTGGCAGCGCCTCCTGATGAAGCACCTCCACCAGCAACCGCGTATGTAGGACCAACACCGGCCTCCTTACCCAGACCTTTGCCTGAGTTCATGATCTTCTCCTCGTTCCATCCTTGTTGCGCGTCGCGTGCCTCGGCGTTGACGGCGGCATCGAGCTTGGTGGCGTTTGATGTGTCGTGGGTGTTTGTGGTGGTTGATGCTGATGGCTGCTTGCTTGCTGCGGCCTTGGGGTTGCCCTCGCCGAATGAACCGTCGCCCTTTAGGGACTCGCCTGCTAGAGAGTCTGATGTGACGGTGCCGACACCCTCGTGGACGGGGATCTTAGACGCGGGGTCGGTGGTAACCTATTAGGAGTAAGTTAGTGAGTGTTTCTGCGATTCCGTCATGACAAATGAGGTCATGGATCAGCGATAAACAACGAAGTATGAGAGCTCCAGACGGAGAACTTACCTTCTGTCCGTGTGAAGCCGACATGTTGTTGTTAGGTATAGTTCCTTTGTGTTGTAGTTGTTGGGATTTGGAGTAGATCGATTGATTGGATTCAGAAAGCTGTGGTAGTTCAAGTGGTATGAGTACCTGAAATCAAGTGCAAACTTGACCTATGTATACCGTCAGACTTCAAGCCCCGATATACTTGCGTCATGACGTCGTCACATTGAGACATCCCACCTTACTTCAGCCTTACCTAGGTGCTCAAAACAACCCCGCCTTTAGTCGAACGGCCGTAGCAGTGGCAGCTCGGAAAGCGGCAATGGGCCCACCCATACATATGCTAGAGTCGGGCATACGTGCATACTGCGGCTGACATGGCGTCAGGAACGGGCCATCCGGGCAGGTGCTGTTGGTGCGGCTGTCGCATGCGCAGTCTAATCCGAAACGCGTGAGGCGTTGGCACGAAGTCTAGCATGGGGCGATGGGATTCATTCATACATCATCATCTTCATCACGACATCACAATTCGACAGGAGATGACACATTTGTTTGTTCGTTCATTTCATTCATTGATCATCGTAAGACTGCTCTTGCAGTCTGCTACTAAGCGCAGTGATAGTAGCCATAATCATACAATCCCATGATGCTTCGGGTATCTCATTATTCTTCCTCCTGCAGTACTCTACTGCTTGGCGCCCGAGCTGGGGTCGTTCTTCTGTGGGTATCCGTAGTCCTTGTTGGTGGTGTCGGCAAGACCAGCCTTGTCCTTAGCCTCGCGCGAGACAGCGTCGTTGGGGATGCCACCAAGGCCATCCTTGGCCTCACGTCCGGAAACACCGCCAGCACCGACAGCGGGTTCGCGGATGGCACCACCGCCGGAGGCGAAAGAGGCTTCTTGGCGACCGGAGCCAACGTTTACGGTGCTGGCATCGGCAGAGTTGAAGTCGGAGGCGACAGGGGGCTGTTCGGGGAGAGGGAGGTTGGACTGAGCCTCGTTGACAGCTTGGGTGTTACCCTTCATGTCGACGGTGGTGGGAGCGTAGCCTTGCTGAGAAGAAACCATTTTGAATGTGTTTGTGCTGAAGATATGTTAGCAACATGAACAGACGCGTGCTCGTGGATGGTTTGAGGGCGTCGCGCCAGGAACGGCAAACTTAACCCGTCCACCACACCACCTCTTGGAATGAAACTCACGTTGTAGGTATAGGAAGAAAGACGAAGTTTTCGAGAATGTGAATTTGCTCGTGAAGATGTAATTGAAGTTGTGGTTGTGATACTGAAAAGAAAAGAGTGTTCAGGCGCGTCGTGGTTTTATTATGGCAGTGGGGAGCGGTTGCCCCACCGGTGACGTCGACCTGATGTAATTCCCCATCGAAGATTGCCATCAAACTCTGACAAGACCCTTCCTCACATCATCGCAGATCGGGTATGCTTCTGCAGAAATAGTTAGCGTTGCTTGTGCTTCGGAACGAGCGAGCCGCTACGTGTCGCGTGCGGTGTTGGCAGTGGAGGCGTTCCAGGTAGTCTCTCAGGCGTAAGCGACACAACCTTGATCAAAACCTCACAACTGCCAAACCCTTGTAAAACTGCAACGACTTGGGGAATGCAGACTTGGTAACATTACTAATATAATTGCATTGTAAGCTGCAAAGAGCATCCCATCGTCAACGCCTCGAAGCTTTGTTGCGACCCACAGACCTTAGTTCAATCGCCAACTCGATATTGGTACATAGAAGCAGTCTGAGAACGAAATCGAATCAGTACGTAAGTGGAGAAGACGGAGCATGAAGCCCCATGAAATGTTGTCAAAATCCTAGGAACCGAACCCTTGTGTACGATCGAAATATGACCAGTCCCGTGCGGATATTCTTCGGCCCCGGAAGTATCGTCATAGTACCGGATGATACTCCACAATGATATTGGTTCACGGTATCGAGGCCCAGTTGCGCAGGAACCAGTCTTGGAAACGAGTGACCTGCACGTCTGGGTAGACTGAGTTAAGGTAGGCGGGTACCGCAAAATCATAGCGCCCCTCCGCTGTCGCGAGGAGCGGTGCGAGCCGCCTCTGTCCGGCTGTGTCTCCTCCCAGTTGAGCCATCGTCATTTGGTACTCGAGATCTGCGTAGTCGGTCAGCAACTGCATGGATGCTGTAAAGAATACCTGCGTACTGGCGGGGGCTTGGTAGTCAATGCTAGCCCATGGTCGGTCTAAGGACATGTTAGCAAAGTTCATTCATCAGACAGACAGTGATGATACTTACTACGGCACGCCTTGATAGCCTCGACCAAGGCATGGACGGTCATACGCTCACCACACATGCTCATCTCGGAAGGCCAAGTTGGCATGTCGAGGGCACGAACCACGAACTGTGCCACATCGTATGCGGATGTCAGGCAGATACAGGAGAGGTTTTGGTTTGCGTCGTAAATCGGTGCCATCGAAGTCATCTGCCGTGGGTCGGCGATGAAGTCTCCCTCGTTGCCATAGCCGCTATGAGTCCCAAGACGATGAGACATCATCCCGTTCACCGAGAAGCGCTCATAAAGTATGCCACAAACAAAGACCGTATACTGTATATTGGCGCGGTAGTGGTGCAGTAAGGCCAACGCAGAGTTGCGGCCACGATCGAGCAGCGCGTTCTGGCCTCGCTGAATTGGCTGACCTTCAAATTCCGCAGGTGCAAAGCGACGAACCCGGCACTGTACAGCCGCTTCTATTAGACGGAGTTGAGGATTGCCCAGTACTGTCGAGATGACGGTATCGACACCCATCAATGCATGCTGCAGAGATGTAGGGCTGTTGTAGTCAACGACTTGACAGTTGTAACCAGAAGCGATCAGGCTCGTTTGATGCTGGTGATCGTTAGGTCATTACTTGGTACTCGGGAGATGAACTGTGTTCTTCCAAGGGGTGCTTACGGTTCGCGAGAGAATGATCAGCTGGTGGCTCGTCGAGTTGTTGATCTCTTGTGCTATCAGAAGCGCTAGACCAGAAGTGCCTAACAGTGTAAGAAGGTTGCCCGAGTGTAGTTTGCTTGGCTTTTGATAGCTGCCTTACCTGCTATTGCGACGCGCATGTTGCCAGACATTGCTTTGCTTGAGCTTGTTAAGTTAAAAGAAGATGCTGGGGCGTATGAGTTTATAAGTTCGATCCTATATCTTGTGTAGCACAAAGCCTGACGTGAGTTGGGCTTTAAGACTGCCTCCGTCAACACCATCACATCGCTATGAAGGCCCGTGACTCACAAGGGTGGCACTGTATCGGTGAAAAGGGTGAATGTAACGCACAGGTTATCGTGGTCGGCCTGAAATATTGCAGCAACAGGGGAAAGCTGCACATATGGGAACATTGCTTACAATACAGAGTTATGTGGAAGCGACGCTGCCAATGAGATTGACTTGTAGCGTAAAGAAACACAAACAAAGCCTGTTACATCAGTGAATTGCTGAAGCCCGGTCTAGTGCTAGGACGGAGGTAGAACGACTGCCACCGTCTTCTGCAACGTGCATGGGTATTCGGAGGTTGGCGTGACAAGATATGATGAAGGGCTAACGGCGGACCTCTTCGCCTCTTGGGTACAGTTGCCTGCTTTCGACGCCTTTCCCGCTAGGTCAAGTGTTCGCTAGTCAACAATCAGGGGCCGATTCGCTGGAGTGTTGTCCACGACAGCTCCCGTGACTCTTGGCTCAACATGTGATACAGTGGAAGAGATAGCACACTTGTTGCGGACGGCGGACAGAGACCGGGAAGAGAGGAATAGAGGCCTAAGCCCTGCATCCGATCAGAGGACTAGAGATGAAATCAACGGAAGAAACACCTGGCCACGGCGAATCAAAGCCAAACGAGCATCGAGACCGTGCATAGTCATGTCCTGCGACAATAACACTAGGCAGTGAGCTCCAACCAATTAAAGTGCTAGCTGAACGTTCAGTCACGGTCCGCGTTCCAGTGGTAGAGTGGCGGTTATATCGTGCGAAAGGATCTCAGACTCCAGAATCTTCGCGGCGGAAGCGGAGTTTGCGTACGAAAGTGGACCCATAGGGCTAGCCCTATACCACGATGCGACCGTATCTCTGACCGAAGTGTAGATTCTCGGGTGTGAAACCCTCATCCGAGGCTCGATGCAGCAGCTCGCCTACGCGAACAGGAACCTAGCGGTCGGGTTTTCTTGTTTCGTAGGGCTGTCAGAACAGCACACCGTTGGTAGCTGTGATTTGGGCAAGGGTGCCATCCGCCAATCATCCATCGTAATGACAGGTTAGGAGGTAACTGGTGATGACGAGATAGGAAAATGGGGCCAAAACCGGTGAGGCTCAAGGATTGCACGAACGCCAAAAAGCCACAGGCACTCGGTTAGATCTCGATGGCCAATACGTGAATGTTGAAACTCCAGAAGTGCCGCATGCAGCACGTGGTTGCGGGATAGTAAGCTGTCTTACGAATATCTTCTGTCGGCTTCGGTCCGAGCAGTGCAACTCTCCTTGGCTCCTGAACACAGACATCGTCAGAGTGTACTGTACAAGGCAGAAAGACACCGATCAGTCTTGATGCGAAATATCTGTATAATCAGGCCACGGAACCCTCCGACTCTTGCTCCAAAACCTTCTGCCTTGTATGGTTGTCTTCACCGGTGGATGTGGGGTAGGAAGGGATGGAACGATGAGACCGCGACTAGACCATAGTGCATGCAAAGGTCAGATGCTAAGGAGGACGAGTGAGTATGCGCATCTGCGGCAACAGAGATGGAATGGTGGTTGAGCATCGTGCAAGCCCATCTGACGGTGAGAGTTACCGCCAAGAGAGTTAGACTGCAGGCCGGACTGGATAGTCGTTGAGTAGCGTGTCGCTGCCTAGATTGCAGTCGCAATGATGCGTACAGGCAGGGTAAGTCATCGGAGGATACCGATGGTAGAGAGTTTGTGTCAGAACGTGGTGATGAGCAGCACCGTGCATTGTTTGACTCGTGTTTCGCGGATGTGGCGGGGTGATTGGAAGGGTTAGCGCGTCACGTGCGGACGTGTTTCACCACTATCCTTTTTGAGTACTAGCTTTGTCAGTGCTACGCGTGTGGAAACAGAAGCATGATTTTCGTCGCGACTCCTACGCGTCTTCATCCCGCGTGGAAGCAGATGATGTCGAGAAAGGGGCGGCAATACACCGCGGGCCAATACTGTTGGAGGAATCTGGTGCTCAATGGGCTCTGCTCACGCGCGTTCTTGGACGTGTTCCGAAATAGGGCTGAGAACCTTGGAAAAGCAAAACAGATAATTGTCGTCCCGCGTTCGCGTAGTTCCTTGCACGACACCGAGATGAACCACGAAAGGCTATCAAAGTGATGAGATGCACGCGTTTTCGTCAGCGATGCTTAGATTGGGCGTGATAGAATGTGACAATTTCTCAGCCTCATCATGCTCGTGCATGCGTGACCGTCTGCCGCATGGATAATACAGGATACGAGGCTGGAGTGGTCGTGTGCACGGGCGGCATGTTCAGTCAAGTGGTATGCACGACATAGGCAAGCGCTCGGCTCGGACCAATCTGATACGTACGCGACTGAAGACGCGCCTCGCACACTACTTTCCTGCCACCATATTGAACGCGTTATTCTTTCTACTATAACACTCTTCCATGGTAGCTCTTCTCTGATCACACCAAGTCCAATTACCAACATTCGTTGTTGTCATCCCATCATGTCCGCCTCATCGCCCTTGCCGTCGTTTTCCTCGCCTGCGTCATCGCGTCTGCCCACCGTCCGACGCGCCAGTTTTAGTGGTCAATTGGCCTTCCTCGTGCACTCGCAGGAAACTGTCGCAAACCACATGCCACCGGATGTCGACAACAAAGCTCTTGCTCGCCAGAAGAGAAGACGCACCAGGTATGCTCTCATTCCATCCAACTTCTGCCTTTCCATCTCGACCGTGTCGACCCATGTTCAACGCGTTGGTTCGTGCGCAACCTACCATCGGGAGCTACTTCGGCCTACCCCGCGGGCACGACTCTCCATCACCCCATCAGCGCTGACCACGACATCTTGCAGCAAGGAAGACGAAGACGTGTTGAAATCGGAATATCTCAAGAACCCGAAGCCAGACAAGGCAGCACGACTAGAGATCGTCCGCAAAGTCGCGCTTGGCGAGAAAGAAGTTCAGGTAAGCGCCAATTTCTCCACGTCACGAGTGTGCGCGCCTTGCTAACATCGCGTCCTAGATTTGGTTTCAAAGTAAGTCAATCCATCTGTTGTGCGCGTCGCTGGTGCTTGCTTTTCAATCGACCCGATTGAATCGCTCCGAAGTGTTGCGCGTGGCTTGGTTGTGCGCATGATTTTCGAAACACGTCCTGATCACGCTCTGCTTTAGATAAACGCCAAAACGACCGCCGTCGCTCACGGCCTCTCGAACCATCTTCCACGGCATCGCTGATGTCTTCTTCTTCCACCATGTCGGACCCGCCCACCGAGGACGAGACGGTAGCCATTGCGCGCAATATCGATAACGCGCCGGGGCCGAAAGACGCAGACGATTGTCCGAGGTCTGACCCACCCGAGCAGCCCGCAACGCCAGAACTCACTTCCGACGAAACCATCCCAGAGCCACGCACCATCGACACTGCCTTTTCTGCCAACGAACCAGAAAACGCGAATGAAGTTGTCGCAGAGCCATCTACCGAAACTCAAAATACCGAAAATGCCTCCGCTGAATTAAGCAACTCGCAGCAGGCTGCACCATCTTCACAGGGCGCCGCGCAACAACGCACATCATGGATCTCCAACCGTCGCAGCGCGTCGTTCGTCCGCTATCTCGACGATTACACGCCCGAAGTCATCACCTTTCCGAACGCCCCTCCGAAGCCTTCAGTATCACCTGACCATGCAACCAAGACCCCTTCCCGGCCACTGAAGCGCAAGCACTCTTTCGTGCGGATAGCGACTAATGAGGACGGCACTGCGCGTATCGTCACCGACCTCGACAAGACGCCATCACCGCCAAAGTCGAAGAAGACTCCATCTTCCTTCTCCCGTGCCGCTGCTGGCCTGCGACGAAGCTACAGTGCAGCTGGCTTGAATGACCGCCTAGCCGCCGCCGCGCGAGGCGAGCCGAGCCCCAAGGTACCGAGAACAACATCGAATATCGGAAGGAGCAGGGATTCGCGCGCATGGGAGTTCTGGTGTGATCCCGAGAGCCGGTCAACAACCAGCCTGACAACGCGTGCAGAACAAGAGGAGAGTGGCAGTGCAGCTGACGCGATTGGCATACTACGCGCGAACCGAAGGATATTAGCACAGAACCAGGCCCGCCAAAACAGCAGCCCGCTGATGGCACGCCACAGCTCACACAAAGTACAAAGCAGTCCACTCAAGAAGGCTCGCGGTTCCATGCAACGCGCGTCCACCATCAACGGCCGCTTCTCCAGCAAGGAATATGCCGACTACAAGAAGGGCGGCGAAAGCACCGATTCGGACGAGTTCCCGCAAACGGAGAGCGACAAGGAGAACTGGGAGCCTAACGCGCCCAAGTCT